AATGTGTTGAATACAATCACACACAGAATACTTATGTCAACGACCCCTCCTTTTTTTTTTTTTTTCTTTTTAAATTTTCAGACAGTCTGCAACCTCTGCCTCCCAGGCTCAAGCAGTTCTCCTGCCTCAGCGTCCTCAGTAGCTGGGATTAGAGGCACAGCGCCACCACGCCCGGTTAATTTTTGTATTTTTAGTAGAGATGGGGGTTTCACCATGTTGGCCAGGCTGGTCTCGAACCCCTAACCTCAAGTGATCCACTCCCCACCCCCTCGGCCTCCCAAAGTGCTGGGATTATAGGTGTGAGCCACCGTGCCCGGCCTGAACTCCCCCCTTCTTAAATTGATGTGTTTGTTGCCAAGGGCAACAATTGGGTGTTTGGGAGCATTGAACAACAAATAGCAAATGAATGAGACCTGAGCTTGCGCCCACCCTTCAAGGTCAGAGAGGAGCGCGGCAATAGGCTCACCTGCTCGTTTGTTCACGTAAACTTTGCAGCAGAGGTGTATTTGTCTGTTTTTGCCTCACAAAACCTGGATCCATCCTTGACAAAGGGGCATTTTATGGTTTCAGGTATTTTAGTAGCCATTGTTGGGGAAGGAGGCAAATCAGAATGCACCATCCAACAAAAAAGTCTGGGACACACAAAAGAAAGGTGCCTGTCCTTGCAGAGGTTGGTCCACACCCTTGGCATCAGTCACCCATTCTAGGAGTTTCCAGGTCGTGCATCTCAGCGCTCACTGGGGACGAGCACAGAAGTGTCACTAAGTTTCGGCATCAGGGACTGACATCACTGTGGCAGTAGAGGATCATGATGGTCATCATTGTTACCAAATGAAAAAAAAAAGCAAACAGCATTTCCACCATTAGGAATTTTTTTGTTTGGTTGTTTTTTTTAAAAAAATTGCATTTATTTCCCCATGTTCACATTCTGCCTTATAGTTAAAGCTTTGTGCTCTGTATGGTGGGTTGGGAGGCACTGAGGAGTGATCAGAAGACCCCTGTCAGGCCGGCCGAGGTGGCTCATGCCTGTAATCCCAGCACTTTGGGAGGCCGAGGCGGGTGGATCACCTGAGGTCAGGAGTTCAAGACCAGCCTTGGCCGACATGGGGAAACTCCGTCTCTACTAAAA